TTAAACAGGTGGGTTGTTATGCGAAGAGTGGCTATACATGCAGTTCGATGACTTTTGATAAATGTATAGAATCAAAATACTTTTTTGATGCATTTGTTTTGTTGCTTCTATAAATAATTGCTTCTTTTTATTGATGAGTAGTATTCCATTGTGTGGATATATCCCCATTTATTGATGTAGTCACCTGTTGCTGGACATTTAGATTGTTTTCAGTGCAGTGCTATTATAAAGTGGATGTGAACACTCATGTCTTTGTGTGACATGTTTTCCCTATCTTGCTTATATACTTAGAAGTATAACGGCTGTGTCATATGGTACGTAAATTATGAACGTTAGGACAAACTGCCAAATTGTTTTCCAAATTGATTGTCACACTATACACTTCCATTAGCTATTCATGGGAGTTCTAATTGGTCTACATCCTCACCAACACATAATATTTCTAATCTTTTTAATTTCAGCTGTTTCTGTTGGGTATGTAGTGATATTTAACTTTTTCTTCTTCTTTTTTTTTTCCTGCTGGAGAGCACATGCCATTATAGGAGAGACCAAGAAAGTGAGAAAGCATCCCTCATGAGCTATGGTCATACCACGATCCCTTCTCCATTTCTCCTTAAGGGATTTTTGATGCTTGTGCGCTAGCGCACCCGCACACACACAAACACACACACACTCCTGGTATGGTTTTCAAGCTGCCGAGTCTGGGACTCAAACTGCAAAGTTGGCCATATAGGATCCAGCCATGTTAATCACCATAACACCGGCTGTCCCTAACTATAGTTTTAATTTGCATTTGGCTGACTGCAGAGCAGGTTTGCTATCTGTGAGTCACAAGAGAGGCTCCCACTACATGGAGGATACCAAAGATCATCATTACGCCAACCGCTATGAACAGAAGTCCAAACACTTCTTCCCACTGCATCCTGGGCTAGATTTACTAACTGCCTGCGTCTAGTGAGACAGTACATCCTCACACACAGGTTACATAAAACAGTTCTTACCAATAAGCAGCCAGGGACAAAAAGAAGTCTCAGACACCGTGCTGGCTCAGTAAAGCAGGGCAGCCAGGGAAGATGGCGGCCGGTGCTCCTCAGCGGGCGTGGGTCCTGCAGCAACCGCGCAGCGAGCAGTCGCCCAAGGATATTAGCAAGTTTCTGCAGGAACGCGGTTCAGATTCGTTTCTTGCAGAACACAACTTACTAGGAAACATTAAAAATGTCGCCGAGACAGCTAACAAGGACCATTTGGTTACAGCATATAAACATCATTTTGAAAGCAAGTGTTTCAAGGGTACTGAGAGTATAAGTAAAGTATCTGAGCAAGTGAAAAATGTGCAGCTTAATGAAGAAAAACTCGAAGAAACCAGATCTGAAGAGACTCAGGATGAGGGTCCACCAAAATACACAAAATCTATCCTTAAAAAGGGGATAAAACCAACTTTCCCCAAAAGGGAGATGTTGTTCACTGCTGGCAGGAACACTACAAGGTGGGACTGTTATTGATACTAATATTCAAACAAGTTCAAAGAAGAAAAAAAGTGCCAAGCCTTTAAGTTTTAAGGTTGGAGTAGGCAAAGTTATCAGAGGATGGGATGAAGCACTTTTGACTGTGAGTAAAGGAGAAAAGGCTCGTCTGGAGATTGAACCAGAATGGGTTTATGGAAAGAAAGGACAGCCTGATGCCAAAATTCCACCAAATGCAAAACTTTTTTTTGAAGTGGAATTAGTGGATATTGACTGAAATACCAGTTCTTTGCATCTAACGACATCAACAACAATAAAACGTGGCTTTGAAGAAACTTATGTAACAAATTAGAGCTTGTTACTATTGGAAGATTCAACTGGAAAATTCAAGGAGTTAGAATTTGTTCATAACTTATCTCAACTTTTGAAAAGTGTAATCCCTTATGAATCGCTAAAGTCTAAAATATTTTACTACAGCTGTGTAAAATATTGATTGAGATCTGTTTTTCCTTTTACCTCATATTGTAAACTAAAAGGCTCAATAAAAATTTATCTATTGTCTATCTATTGTCTGGGGAAAAAAAATTAGTCTCAGACCCATTGTGAGCTTCTTCCCCAAAGCTTGAGAAAGCAACCCGGGGCAGAGTCTTGACTATACATGCTCCACTTGCACTGGAGCTGAGGGACCCTGATAGACAACCAGCTCTGGGTTATGCACCCGGGCAACATGACTTACTAGGAATTCTTTGAAGTACACCCTGATTACAAGAGGAGGGACAAAGCCTGGGCTAAACCAGGAGATTCTTCCCTAACTTGAGATATTACATACCATAGTGTTGTTTTAAACCACTAAGTTTGTTAGAACAGAAATATAAAACTATAAAACATTAAGGTAGTTTCTTGTGAGCATTCATTACTGGGACCAGCAGATGGTGTAATGGTTATGTTGCTAGACGCCCACATAGTTGACCATGGTTCAAGTCCTGGACCAGGCAGCTTAAAACTCATGCCAAGCATGTGTGCATTCCCAAAATCTTGAGAGGAGAACGGAAGAGAGGGGACTGTGTGGCCATCCCCTGGGGGGTGGTGATTTATCACTTTCTGTCTGACATGTGCACATACCCTGTTGCAAAAATTTCTCTCTTAAACAAAAAAAAACATTCATTACTAACCTCAGAACAATCAGGAGATGATGAACTAAGTATGGTTTCCTCAGCAACCCTTTATTGTTATTCCCACTTTCCTTTTGGTCATTTCATTTATAGTATCACCATTAAGATATGAGTAGAATAAGGTCAGCAGGTGGCATAGTGGTTAAGGCACTGGACTCCCAAAGGCCAACTGTGATTTGAGTCCCAGACCCAGAACCTTGAAAATCATGCCAGGTGGCATGTATGTGCTTGCCCAAAATCCCGAGAAGAGAATGGAAGAGAGGTAACTGCAGAGTGACCATCCTGCTCCACCCCCCTCAAGCGGGGTGATTTCTCACTTTCCCTTTCACTCCATTTTCCATCTTTCTCCAGTGAGCACATTTGGCACCCTATGGCAAAACTTAAAAAGAAAAGCAAAAAGGTAGAAACTCTAAACTCAATGAATCTGGTGTGTTTTATTTCTGTTGCATTAGCACCATTTTGAGAGAATAGCTTGACAGGAAGGTAAGTCTGACGAGGAGTTAGTAGTGGTTGAGTTACTCATGCTATCTCCTACTCTCAGTGCCTGGATAGCTACTGTTCACTGTTTCCTTTTTATACCCCAGAAAGGAATAGAAAAAGACAGTGGACCATTGAGGTTTTATTGATTTATTTTGCCTGTGGTATGGGCCAAGTATTAAAGCATCTGAAGACAGATTAATGTAAGCCCTTCCCTATGGATACATAGCTCAGTGGATGTAATGATTTATTAAGGCTGCACAATAAAGGAGCACACTGATGGCTTACGCAGTAGAAATTTCCTCACAGTTCTGGCTGCCAGAAGTCCAAGATCAAGATGTTGGCAGAGTTGGCTTCTTCTGAGGCCCCTCTCCCTGGTTTACAGATGGCCATTTTCTGCCCATATCTTCAAATAGTCTTCCCTCTGTCTGTGTGCTCTCTGTCCTAATCTCTTCTTAAAATATCTTCTAATATTAGTCATATTAGATTAGAGTCTACTCAAATGATATCATTTTACCTTAATTACCCTTTTAAAGGTCTTACCTCCAAATGCAATCACATTCTGAGGCACTAGGAGTTAGGACTTAACATTTGGATTTTGTTTATAATAAAATTCACAATTCGGTATGTAACACTGGGAGTGAAGGCTATCAAAACAAACACACAGAATATCTTCAGAAAAGCTAAACTAAAAATAACTATTTAACTGTACATCTAATATTTGTATATCAGAGAAAAATCTATAATTAAATGGATTTTAAATGATAATAGTTCTGGAGTGAACACATGTCCAAATTTCTGTAATTAGTGTTATACAGAAATGAGAAAACTAGAATTTATATTAAGCCTTGAAAATGATGAAATGAAGAAAGTATGGGTATAAAAATAACAAGCACCATGCAATTAAATGCATCAATGTTTATAAATGTTTACGATAATAAACAAAATGGTAAGCTATTAAAATAATTATCTTTTTAAAAAAAGATTATTTCTTGAGGTAAAGAAACACCATGGAAATACACACTAATCAACTTGGCTAAAACAAGAAGAGCTAATGTGAAGGTTAAAAGCACTCCTAAAGAAGGAAGTATAGACTTAGGGTTCATGTTACAATGTAAGGATGAAGGCTCTTGCAGTCAATTCTTTAAATATAAATATTTCACACATTATGCTAAAAGTAATTTAGACCAATAGGAGAAATGAGAAAGAAACACTTTTTTTAGAAACTATGGAATGAATCTAACAGTTTCTTAGTGAATACCCAGTTTGAGTAGATTGGTGGGTATATTTTCTCCTATCGATCTGCTCCTACCACCAAAATGAAACAAAACAATCCCCAGCCGAAATACACAAAAGCTAGGACTCTATATGCATTTATAGAATCAGGATATAAATCAGATAAGGGCATCAAAGAGAATTCAAGACTCAATACCTGTTTTATCCTTTGAAGATACTTTAATTTTACAGTTATTGATTAATTAAAAAACAGATTTTTTTTAGCATTTCCTAGCTACAGTAGTGCATAGGAAATTCCATTCTAAACAAAGAAGTACTTAATGAAATAACACACCTTAACATTTTACATTGATAGGTTACAGTTTACAAGGTGCTTTCACATACATCATTTCATTCGAGTCTTACAACAAGCAGAAAAAACAGTCAGTGGGATAAAAAAAAATTTTTTTTAAAGGTTTACAATGAGTATTTTCAGGCCAATGGGCAGTCAGTACAAGAAGATACCAAGAACAAGACAGCAATACCCATAAGCCACGCTATCTTTTTTTTGGTAGGTTGACAGTTTGATATTAACTGGGTATTTAGCATCAGTGAAGGAGGAAGGAATTAGGACAAACACGAGGTTCTCATGATATTCAAAGAATTGTAAGAACGCTGTCAGAGATAAGAAGAAAGATGCTCTAAAATATACTGCCTTACTGAGACTTCAAAGCAGAATATCCTTTCAAAATATCAGATAAAAAGAGCATCTTGTTATAACATGTGCAAGTTAGAAGGAACTTTAGAAACTGCCTAATCCAACTCTTCCATTTCATAGATAAGAGAACTGAGGCCAAGATCTTGCTGATAGTAGGCCAGCTTTAACTCAGATGTCTTGACTTTCAGTCTAGGGCTCCTTCTTATACAACGCTATCTCATTGTGTATGGAGCAAAATCATAATTTCTTCTGTTTCAAATAATGTAATTTGAAGTTAAATACTGATTTATGCCACTTATTTCTTATTCAAGTTTTTATCTTGTTCTTGGCTAAATTGTGGCTGAAACGTAAATTTCATATACTTAAAAAATATTATAATTAAGTGTATTTGATTAGTTAGAAATAGACACCCCCTGACATATTTGAAAGCTTGCTTGTGTCCTTTTAATAGAGGGTAACATGGAATGATTGAAGAGCTCTCAAATCCAATGTATGCCTAGGGGTCATTTAACTAGGTAGAGTCTGTAGCTGGGCATTAGTAATTTCATAGAAAAAAATATTTTTAGCATTCATAGAAATCTTTTTAATTACTGAAAACTAAGTTGTAATAATCAAATTGTCATCCCCATGATTTACTAAAAATAATTTTACAATAATATACAACAAAGCTACCATAGAATTTGTAGCATACATATAGGACACGATGATCAGCATGTTCTTGGGTCTAAATGAAATACAAAAAAGTTAATTAAAATATTTTATACAAATAATGGTTTTAAATTTATTAACATGATGATATAGTATTGTTACATAAAACTTGCTACAGTAGAATATTTCAAAATTTTCTTACACATTTGAAAGATAGGTGGACCAACTGAAGTAAGTATCAGCTGGTATGTGACATTGCCATGCAGAAACACTTGACAATTGAAAGATATACAGACTGGTAGAGAAAACATCCCAGACAGGATTTTTCAACATCTTCAAAGGTTTCACAAAGGTATGGTACAGATGGAAAGAAGTAGTGTCAGTGACCTACCTGCACCAATAACGCAACAAATAGGATGGTTATATACATTAAAATCAGTTTGGTTAAAAAAATTCATTTTGTATGCATGTAAATTGATCATAAAAATGAATGCAGTTTACTTTAAACTGTTTTGGTGTATTGTTTTAAGACAGGTCACTGAGACACACAGATTTAAGCCATAAAGGAAAACTGAAAGCAAAGGGGAAAAAAAAATAGTAAAGAAACCGAGTTAATCCATGGAGCCTCAACAAACACTAAACTAAATGTGCAAAAGTGCTTACATTTCTGCACGACAGCACTGTTGTTGTCAGCTGGCAAAAAGTATTAAAAATGAACTAAAATACTAAAATTATATCTGCATGATCATACATTCTGTTTTAAAAAAGAAAAAAGAGGTTAGAAATGATGACATATCTAAAAATATCACACCTCAAAATAAAATATAACTGTGGTGGTTTCATAAATGCGGTCCCCCTGTCTCATTTAGGAGGCATGGGATGAAAGCGGAAATTGCAACAGTGCCCCTACCTCAGACTTACAATTATGGTACACCACAAAAATAGCTGATACCAACTTCTTTTGTTCATAACTGTTACAAAATTAAACAAATAAAAAACTTCATTTAAATAAAAATACCTCTTTACTATTTGTAAGAATCAAGCCATTCATTTGATTTAGGAAAGTATTTCAAACCAAAGTTTTTTTTTAGTTTGCTTTTCCTTTAAAAAGTTTACAATGAGAACTATTTGAGAAACTTTAAAATTTGTCACTTTTGTTAGTCATGTTCTGCTAAAATACTGGCTAAAATCATTTTTGAAGAGTAAAGATTCAGAAACCATAGAACTCGTCTCTAATACCTGCAGCAGCAATGCTGGTACCAGGTGAGAGAATCTGGGTAATGATTCATATCATTAATTTTTCCTGTTGAATGAAACATATTTGTTATACTGCACAGGCTATGGTCACTTAATTATATAAGGAGAGGGTGATATAAAAAAAGTTAAGGGAAACAAACCTGTGGAACTATAGAAATACAAACTGCTGGATCTAGCTTCTTTAGTCTATCCAAATTTATTGCCAGAATAGTGAATTCCAAGAAAGTTACTGCCTTAATTTGTATAAATATCCTTGGTGATAAGACATTCTATCTTCAAAAACTGTCAAGAATTTTGGCAAAACTGAGTCTGAGCTACTCAAATAAAAATAATCAAAAGTTTACCTTTAAGTCTTGACCAACAAAAACATTGGCAAGAATTACTAAAAGCAACACTTATTCTTCCCTTCAAATATCATATAGCCATAACACTGCCCATCTGAAACATCAACAAAATACAATGGAGCAGTTTAGAGAAAAAAAAATAAGAAGAAGGGAAAAGCGAGAAATGGATGTAGGAAGAGAGGAGAAAGATAAACCAAACAGAAGATGGAAAGGGTGTAGTACCGTGTTATGGCACAGACAAAGTTTCCTCAGCGGTGCCTTGTTACAGAGGTGGATGCAGAGTGCACACGGACGATGGCCAAGACTCACTCAGTCACTGGAATGAAGGAACTAGGTAACTGCGTCAACAAGGATGGTCTCAGTTCCACCTTCTCTCTCAACAGAGTGCAAAAGATTGAGTGTGAGCTCTGATGTCACCTTGTGGCTCCTCTCTAAAATTCACAAAATTCTTTTGCACATTTTTCTGTTATAGAGACACGGATATCTTCTTCTTCATAATCATCAAAGTTGCTGGTATCTCCAGAGCCTCTAAACTTTGGTATGAATGGAGCTTCAACCTACGATTGAGAGAGAAAACTTAGAAAGAGGAAAAACAAATCGCTGAGAGTTTCCTAACACTAAAGAAGATAAATTCCCACTATTAATACAGGGTAGCATCTTCGAAGACTACTACATTTCTAAAATAGGACCATAATAGAAGAAGAAACAGTAGGTTTACTATTAACCTCAACATTTTCACTCAAGGCATGATGCAGGCCAATGCCAACATTTAAGAAATTTCTAGGATACTTGACTACTGGCGTCAAAGAGCTGGCTTGTAAGGCTACATAGAGAACCCCAGTTTTCCCCTTATTAGTTCCTTGTTTCTAAAGCCTTTTTTTTTCTGTCCCCCTTTATAAAAAATTCTTTTCCTTAAGATTAACAGGTAAATCTTGAACTTACTTTTTAATCTCCGTCCTTTTTTAACTTCCAGTATATTTTGCCCAAGATATTGACTATAGAAACTTTCTGGGCAGTAGGAGAAAACATCATTTCTGGAATTATAAAACTGTTAATCCTAAACATTTGTCTTCTCTGATTCTAAAAGTAAGATGTCTTCTATGTAGAATATGATCTTTTATAAAGATTAGATGGTATACTGAATATGTGTGGGGAAAAGATTTTAAAAGTTAAAAAGAAAAAACACAATTTGCACAGCATAAAACAATTACACCCACAGTTGTTTCTTTGTCAATGCAAAACTGTGAGGAAGGTAGGAAGGCAGGGAAAGCATTCTTTACTTTCTTTCTTTTTTTTTTTTTTTTTTTAAAGAGAGATTTTTGCTACAGGGCATCTGCGCTTGCCAGAGAGTCAGAGACAGAAAGTGAGAAATCCTCGGGCGCCCCCCCCCCCCCCCCCGCGCCCAGATGGCCACGATGCAGTCCTTCCTCCTCTCAGGATCTAGGGCACACATGCACACATGCCTGGCGCAGGTTTTAAGCTGCCGAGTCTGAGACTTGAACCACAGTCAACTATGTGGGAGTCCAGTGACATAACCATTATGCCATCTGCTGGTCCCAAACATTCTTTTCTTAGCAGGATCTTGCTGTTGGAATCTTCCTTCTTTAGCCTCTCAGCTGGGACTACAGGTTTGGCCACACCTAGCTGTATTTTCAGACAGAATCTCTCTCTGTTGCCCACGCTAGCCTTGAGTTTGGGATCCTTCTGCTTCAGCTTCCCTGAGTCACTGGGGTTAAAGACGCATGCTTCCATGCCAGGCATTTATGTTGGCCTAGCAATCAAATATAGGCCTCTCGGAGCATGGTGTTTTCTAAGCGTGTGCCACTGCAGCTGTGCCAGGACAGATATTCTTATTCCTGTTTTACAAACAGTAACACAGAGTTGAAAAAATTCACATGGCTACTAAGTGGCTAATGCAGGTCTCAAATTCATGAGTCCTCATTTTGGCTCACACTTCTTTTTACCATCTACTCAAGTGGTGTTCAAAAGTTTTTGATTTATGAGTATATTTCTTTTAGCAAAACATTTTATAGTATATATCATCAATGTATGTATGGTTATTTACTTATAAATTATGTATATACATGACTATACTAATATATCATAAGATATAAGACATTTATAAATAAGATAAAAAATAAATAAGGATGAAAATTCTAGTATTCTAGTATTCTCATAAGGCTGTCTTATGAACCCTGCTTTTGGGATGAAGGGAAAAAAAAACAAAAAACAAAAAACCTGCACTCTAGAGAATAATGAGCCAGGCAAACAGCTGTCTTAAGTCTCACCAGGCAGTAGTTTAGAATGACACTGCTGGGGCTCAGAAAGGCTGGCCCCTCAGAAGCAGAATCAAGGTCCCTGTAACCTAGTATTATCACCTCCCACTTCCCCACTGCTCTCTGTCCTGAAGTTCAGGGAGGGGCTTACTCTGATATTCCACTACCTGTCTAAAGTCTAGACATGCTGGAAAAAAAAGCAATTGCCTTTGGTCCCTTGCTAAGTAAACTCATTAAGTTCCATTAAGTAAACTCACATTGCAGGAAGGAAGATTGAGAATGTCAACACACCTGTATAGATTTTCTAAAGCGCTACTGTTCTCTCAGGCCCATTCAGCTCCCAAAGAGACTCATTTACTCACCACTGTCTGAATCCTGGGCCCATCCCTTCCTAATAAAAATCACTTACTCTAGGGATCAGCAGATGGCATAATGGCTAGGTCACTAGGCTCCCATGGAGCTGACCATGGTTCGAGTCCTGGACCTAGGGGCTTAAAACTCATATTGGGCGTGTGTGCATGTGTTTACTTACTTTTTTTTGGTTTTTCTTTCTCTCTGTTAGAAACAATTGGTTAATTCACTGTTCATGAACACTGGGATTAAAGAACAAAGACTATGAAACTATTCAAATTTACAATCATTTTTACAATGGAATGCACAGTAGAATTGAGAAGGTATTAAAAGGCTAAATTATATAGATTTTAAATAGATTATTTCTATTTAAAAGTCATCTAAAGATCCTGGGACCAGCAGTTGGCATAATGGCTATGTCGCTGGACTCCCATGTAGTCGACCTCGGTTCAAGTCCCGGACCTGGTGGCTTAAACTCACGCAGGGCACGTGTGGGTGTGTGCCCAGGATCCTGAGAGGAGAATGGAGAAGAAGGTATTGGAGCGTGGTCATCCCCCTTGGGGGGTGATTTCTCGCTTTCTGTCTCTCTGTCTCTCTCTTTCTGGCAAATGCACTTGGCCTATAGCAAAAACCTTTCCAAAAAAAGAAAAGTTATCTAAAGATCTTCACTTTCATTTCATTTAATCAATATTTGATTTTCTATTAATATCACTTTGCCCATTTTGGAAAGTGTAATTGGGGAAGGAGAACACATTATAAAGCTACATAAAATTGCGTACAGTATAAGCATAGGAAAAAAGAACTCACAAAATAAAGTTAGGAGACAGACCACAGGGCCACAATATGACCAATATGTTGTGTCATATTGGTCCACAACACTCTGCAATGCTGGACCAATATGACAAGGTCCTCAGTTCATGCCCTGGGGACTCCCTGTTCATGCTAGGTGCACATGTGTGCGCCTGTGATCCGAGCTGGCTGAGTTTGGGGGTGGACTGTATTGGGAGTCTCAAAATAAATAAATACATTTTTTTAAAAAAAGAAATAGACCAGTGTATATTATAAGTAGTATTACTAAAGGTAGAATTTTCAAATAGGGGCCAAATAAGGATTATTTAATAAATGCTGAGGAGATAATTGACGAATTATTATATGATGAGTAAAAAGTTAGATTTTGAAAAGCACTAAAATAAAATTTAGGTAAAACAGACACACTTAGATGAGATAGACGATTTTAAAATGATCGTGTATGGTGGCAGGAAGTCACCTAAATGGCCTGTGTAGTAAGTGGCAATCCTGGTAGAAGGCCCTGAGGGAGAGGGGAAAGTGCAGGGTTGGAGGAAGTAGACCGTACATGGTCACTGAAGCCATGGAAATGGCCTGTAGTAATGAAGAACCCAGAAAAACACTGAAAAGACATATGCAAAATAGAGGTTTATTTGGACAGTGGGATTATAATTTCAAAATTATCTACTCAACAAATTAGTGGTTATAACTATTTGAAGCATAACTCAGCCAGAAAAAAAACTGAAGCCTTTATCAATCTATCAAATCTTTCTTTCCAAACTACTCTTTCTTTTGTATTTTCTATTTTAATTCAAATTTTAAGGATGATAAAACTCATGTTTTATAGAGGTTAAATAATTTGTTGAAGATCCTACTATCGATGATTGGTTGATCTGGGATTTAGAGCAATGTCTACCTCGTCCAGGAGCTCATGCTTTCTGTGCTGCCTCAAATGCTCAAAGCATAAAAATTAAGCAGATGATAGATATAAAACCATAAAAATCTAATGAGACAATGTATTGTTCAGTGGTTTGGGGCCTCATATTAATAACTGTATTAAAAGGACTTTAAAAGGGTAATGTGATCCTGGGATTGAGAATCCATACAAACTGGAATCAAGTATATGTGTTATTTATGATTACGTATGGCTATGTTTAAAGTAATTAACCACTAGGGATGGTGGCACACACCTGTTATACCAGCTACAAGGGAGGCTGAGGCAGGAGGACTGAGAGTTAAAGGTTAGCTTGAAACACATACTGAGACAGGTTTTTACAAAAAAAAAAAAAAAAGATGTGTCAAATTAATTAACCTTTTTGAGCTGATTTCCTTATTACTAACATGGGGAAAATGGTACTGCCTAGTTCATAGAATTACTTCAGAGATCAAAATGAAAGGTTGCAGAGTTGCTTTGTTACTTTATAATAATGTATTTTGACATCTAAAATTGATTCTAAACCACTGTGGATCTTTTTCATAACTACATAAAACATGCATTTGAGAAAATGGTGCTAACAAGCTATGTTTCATGAACATAATAGAGTGTTTCTGGACCCGTCTTATGATATATAGAAGCTATACTGCACTCACACAGTTTTGGTCTTGATATATTTTGTATTGGCTGCATTTTAAAATTCTTTTATTGTTTTTATAAAATAAGTACATTAGAAAAACTGTTATTAATACTTAGAGCAATAAATTTTTTTTCCTATGTGAACTCATTCACGTGGCTATGCAGCATTATTAAAATTGAAAAGTCTCTCAAACATTAGAAGTTTTAGCTTTGTGGAAAAATGAAGAAAAAAATGAAATATATTCAATATGAAAACACTATGCAAATTATCTTAACTCAGCATTTAAGAAATACAAGGAGATAAGGTCATTCTGCACAGCAAAATATTTTCTTTAATGTCTCATTTATTACCAAGGCAAAGTGATAAATACTATTACTTAACATCCTGTTGTTACCACAACCAGTATACTGGCATTGTATATACAGAATTGAAAAAAGTAAGAGGCATGGGTAGAAATAATTTAAGAAGGAACTATTTCAGAACAATGGCCAAAATAGAATACATGCTTTCTCTTTTATCTAAGAGAAAACTCATTTTTAAGTTATGGCATGTAAGGCATATATATGATTCCATGTAGACTTAATGAAAAAGTTAAGTAATTAAAACCACATGTTAAATTGAAAACATCTCTACTACATACTTTATGTATTCACATTTATTTATATTATTCATGAGAGAGAGCATGTATGCGCGTTAGAAAGACAGACACCCCTGACAGGATCCCATCATTCCACGACCCGCTTCCCCCAGCTCTCTCGCTAATAGGATCTGAGGTGCGCACAGTCAGGATGCTTTCAGGTGGGCTCACGACCTGGACCTGGAGTTGGTCCACAGTTGCGACGGCCTGTGCCACCAAGGCTGGGCCCTCTACTCCCTATAATTTAAACAACACATTAAAAATACATTTTTTTAGTTAAAAGAAAGAAAGTCTCACCTTCCTCTGGTAAATAGCAATCCAATCTGTTGTGGCAAACCATTTGTGAGTTTTTATGTCACTTACACCATTCTTTAGATTCCCAAATCGCTTTGTCAAATCCACCTGTAGCAGGTTCCTTAGAAGATCTTTGAGATCTGAACTGAAGTGAGATGGGAATCGGACCTGTACAAACACCAAGTGGTAAAACACACATTCCAAGACTCATGATATTTATATTTCAATTTTATAAAGTGTTTTTTAAGATAATGGGTCATTTATAAACAAAAATATCTACTGATGACCTTCAAATACTTCTAACTACATGCGACATCCCTGTCATAGTTTTAGAAGGATAATAATTTGGATGAATAAACTAAAACTGTTCTCTTATGGCCTTGCTTTGGTCATGAACTCCCTTTAAGACCAGACTCCAGAAAAATGTACATACATGCAGAGCTCTACCAACAATATTAGAAGGGTCACCCATTTTCAAGAGAGATCCCCCAGTATCTTACACTATCAACCTCTGTCTCAGAGATGGACAGATTTAAACTTGTAATATAGTAGGATAAGCAGCATCTGAAATCTCAGTATATACATTTTGAAAAGAGATCTATCAAAAAAAGAAGTCTATGAATGACTGTAAAAACCCATGATGTCTTTCACTGAAAAAGAAGCCATTTTTAATTGTGTAGTAGCTAGCTTTTAAGCATAATTCTGCTAATATCTAACAGCATAAAAATGATTTAGATTGGATTAAAAACATTTTTCTACCTCCTAAATTGTGAAGACTTTATAATTAATTGACTGGCTTTCAGCCTTTAAAACAAAGTACAAAATTCCAATTTCTCAAGATATTGCATGTTAATCAATAAAATAAGTTATGATTTATAAGAAACATAGGCATATTTTAGGAACCAGCAGTTAGCGTAAGGGCTATATTGCTGAACTCCCAGGTAGTTGACCACAGTTCAAGTCCTGGACCCGGTGGCTTAAACTCACACTGGGCACGTGTGCGTGTGTGCCCAAGATCCCGAGAGGAGAATGGAGGAGAAGGGATTGCAGTGTGGCCATCCCCCCTGGGAGGTGACTTCTCGCTATCTCTCTGTCTCTCTCTGTCTTTCTGGTGAGTGCATGCACCCTATAGCAAAAACCTCTCCAAAAAAAGGAAAAAATAAATTTTTTTTAGAAATAGAAACAGGCCTATTTTATATTTTGTTTTATTTTATCACATCTGCACCTCCACTCCAATCTAACTCCAAATTCTCATTCTTTTATTGATATGGGTACAGAAAATGTTAAATGGCTACTGTTAAGAGATATTTTTTAAAATAGTTACATCTATATCTCCTTATTCTTTTCTTTCATTATTAACACCTGTTCACAGTCCTTTCCAACTTGTGTTCAATCATTTCCAATACCCTTTTCCTTGTCATACACATATATGTATGTGCTCATATACCGATGTTCCCTCCACTTAAGATAGTTCGACTTACAATCTTTCAACTTCGTGATGGTACAAGAACCATTTGTACTCAATAGAAACTACTTTGAGTACACATACAGCCATTCTTTTTTTACTTTCAGTACACAGTCTTCAACAAATTACATGAGATATTCAACACTTTATTCAGGCTTTGTGTTATATGATTTTGCCCAACTATAGGCTAATTTAAGTTTTGTGAGCATGCTTAACATAGGCTAAGCTAAGGTATGATGTTTGGTAGGTTGGATGTTTTAAATATGTTTTCGAGTAACTACATTTTCAACGTATGTTGGGGTTAAAAGGATACAACCCCGTCATAAGTTGAGATGCATCTGTATATGTGTGTGTGTGTGTGTGTGTGTGTGTGTGTGTGTGTGTGTGTGTTAATCCTAGGTTTGTCTACTATGCAGACTTCATTTCAATATTCCCATCCTTGCTAATACAAACACTATTCTCTGGATTTTCATGGCCTCAACTTCAGATTGATCAGAGCACGTCTGCTGAAAATACTTCAAAGAGTAAACAGACCATTTCTAAATTCCATGTATTCTTGTTTTCTCTGGCAATACTACCATCATCTCATAACTTATACAGTATATCATTACTAGAGGAAAACTTGTATTTGTATCAACCAACCAAATACTGTTTTAAAGCTTCTAGCAAATGTATGTGCTCTCTGGCAAAATATTAAAAAAGAAAAAAGAAAGTTAAAAAGAACCAGGATTTAGGATCAATTCATATAAATTAGCAACTGAAAGCCTCCATTCTGTAAAGCCTGTATTAGTAGAGGTTATGAGAGAATTTATGTTCTAAAAAAGTAAGAAGTGAACTATTATCTTCTCTAGTTTTTTTACTCTTGACATGATGGATTATTAGGAGCCAGGTGTTGTGCTAAATATTTTATAAATCCAAAACACAGCACTGAGATAGGCATGTTTATAATCCCTATTTTATAGGTGTGTGGGGGGGTGGTAAAGTAATTTTTCTTTTAATTAAAAAAATTTTTTTTTGGACAGGTTTGTTTTTTTGGCTATAGGGCGCATGCGCTCACCAGAAAGACAGAGCCAATACCCTTTTCCTTGTCATACACATATATGTATGTGCTCATATACCGATGTTCCCTCCACTTAAGATAGTTCGACTTACAATCTTTCAACTTCGTGATGGTACAAGAACCATTTGTACTCAATAGAAACTACTTTGAGTACACATACAGCCATTCTTTTTTTACTTTCAGTACACAGTCTTCAACAAATTACATGAGATATTCAACACTTTATTCAGGCTTTGTGTTATATGATTTTGCCCAACTATAGGCTAATTTAAGTTTTGTGAGCATGCTTAACATAGGCTAAGCTAAGGTATGATGTTTGGTAGGTTGGATGTTTTAAATATGTTTTCGAGTAACTACATTTTCAACGTATGTTGGGGTTAAAAGGATACAACCCCGTCATAAGTTGAGATGCATCTGTATATGTGTGTGTGTGTGTGTGTGTGTGTGTGTGTGTGTGTGTGTGTGTTAATCCTAGGTTTGTCTACTATGCAGACTTCATTTCAATATTCCCATCCTTGCTAATACAAACACTATTCTCTGGATTTTCATGGCCTCAACTTCAGATTGATCAGAGCACGTCTGCTGAAAATACTTCAAAGAGTAAACAGACCATTTCTAAATTCCATGTATTCTTGTTTTCTCTGGCAATACTACCATCATCTCATAACTTATACAGTATATCATTACTAGAGGAAAACTTGTATTTGTATCAACCAACCAAATACTGTTTTAAAGCTTCTAGCAAATGTATGTGCTCTCTGGCAAAATATTAAAAAAGAAAAAAGAAAGTTAAAAAGAACCAGGATTTAGGATCAATTCATATAAATTAGCAACTGAAAGCCTCCATTCTGTAAAGCCTGTATTAGTAGAGGTTATGAGAGGTTTTATGTTCTAAAAAAGTAAGAAGTGAACTATTATCTTCTCTAGTTTTTTTACTCTTGACATGATGGATTATTAGGAGCCAGGTGTTGTGCTAAATATTTTATAAATCCAAAACACAGCACTGAGATAGGCATGTTTATAATCCCTATTTTATAGGTGTGTGGGGGGGTGGTAAAGTAATTTTTCTTTTAATTAAAAAAATTTTTTTTTGGACAGGTTTGTTTTTTTGGCTATAGGGCGCATGCGCTCACCAGAAAGACAGAGAGAGACAGAAAGCGAGAAGTCACCCCCCCCACCCGGAGGATGGCCACACCGCAATCCCTTCTCCATTCTCCTCTTGAGATCTTGGGCACGCATGCACACGCGCCCAGTCCAGTGTGACTTTAAGCCATCGGGTCTGGGACTCGAACCGCAATCGAATACATGGGAGTCCAGCGACATAGCCATTACGCCAAATGCTGGTCCCAGGGGTGAAGTAATTTGAGACCTAAAGAGATTAAGTAATTTGTCCAAGCTTACAGAATTAATAACTCGAAGAACTATTAATTCTCTGCTGGGTACTCTGACTCTAGCACATATACTTTTAATTATCCTATGCTTTCTAGATTCAATAACCTGGAAATGGGAGCACCAGCAGATGACATAATGGTACCACACAGTCCCCACATACTTGACGGTGGTTCGAGTCCTAGACCAGGCAGCTTGAAACATGATGGATGTGTGTGCATGTATGTGCAAGAACCCGAGAAGAGAACAGAAAAGAAGAGATTGCAGTGTGGACATCTCCCCTTGGTTCATGATTTCTTGCTTTCTGTCTCTCTGTCTTTCTGGCAAGCACACATGTCCAATAGCAAAAATCTCTCTAAAAAAAAAAAAAAAAACCCCAAATCTAGAAATAGTCATTATCAGAAATCTTCTGAAAAACTGAAATTTCTACCTTAAAAATATCTTACAGTACATTTCCTCGTTTATTCTAGCTTAGTAGTAATTCGCGAATAAAGAATATTCAAAAGACACACTTTCTTTTTTAAATAACATGACATTGTCCCAGTAGTTAGCTCAGATTTTTCTGGTGGTAAATCTAGGCTTTATGTAGATTTCTAAGAAATAACTTATTTTAAGTAGATCTATCTTTGTTTAGAATAGGATTTGTACAAACTGTCCAATGGTAATGTATTAGTTACCCTTCATGATGTTCAGAATGGTAGACAGTAATAAATTAACATTGGAATCCAGGTAATGTGTAATGCAATGTATACAGAATATAAGTACCTAGAGTAGTTCTCTATTTTGGAATATAAATAAAGAAACTACCTTAAATTAGTTAATGTGTGAGTGTGTGTATATGTGTCTGTTTAATGCTTAAATGGGGAATGGTAGTGGTTTGTGATGGTAAATATCAAAATCATTTGGGAATCTTTTCAAATTATAGACATCCTCCTCTCACCTCTACATCATATCCTCTTTCCCCCCAGGATTCTGATAGGTAACTCACACTCACATAGTAGTCCCTGTTTTAAAGATAGGAATCTATCATGTCCTTAAAGTGTATTGGGGGAGAAATAATAAAAATCAATGTGAAAATAATTTTTCTATGGTTGTTCTGACATGTAACCTGACAGGCAATTTCTTTCTTGATTAAACCTTCCAAAGAACCATATTGATTCAACAAACTGAAATTAGCAAAAACCAGAAAATAACTTAAATAAATTATGTCTTAAATGCAAGACCTTTAGTTGTAGCATATTAATTAGAGACACC